TTTATCCTCACAAATTGGTTTTTTTTTTTTTTTTTTTTTTTTGCCAAGAACCTAATTCAATAACTGATCATATATATTAAAGAAAAAAAAAACTAATGAAACCAATGGGATCATGCTACTATGGATATCCCCAGTCCCTCTTGCTTTGGCCAGCTCCTGTCATAGTGGTGGTGGTGCTGGACACCCACATGGATGACTGCAGTTTGGACCCAGATCCTGCGACTTGAAACTCAAGCCAGGCGCATGTGCGTACATGCCCAAAAGCCCGAGAGGAGAAAGGGATTGCAATGTGGCCATCCACCTTGGGGGTGATTTCTCACTTTCTCTCTCTCCATCTAGCTCTGTGTCTCCAGTGAGCACACATGCCCTATTGCAAAAATTTCTAAGAAGAAAAAAAAAAATAGTGCCACTTGCTTCTAAGAGGAATCTACCATCCACTGGGACTTTTATTTGCCAAGTAGGTGGTATCAGCTGCCATGCCCTTTCTCTTCTGCTCCAGGTCCCCATGTTACTGGTCCTGAGAAACCACATGAAGGTGCCTCATCACTGCCATCAAAGAGTACCATAGTCATGCCAGTGTCCAGATAATCCAGTTAGTCAACAAATAAATGACAAGGGGACTGGGGCCTGCAGGTGGCATGGTAGTTAAGGGCACTGGACTCCCACATGGCTGACTGCAGTTTAAGGCCTGGACCTGGTGGCTTGCTTTCTCGCCCCATGCATCTCTTTCCAGTGAGCACATGTGACCTATAGCAAATTTTTAAAAATAATAATAAAATAAAAATAAATAATTCTTTTTATTTAGTGTGTTTTTTGCTGTAGTGCGTGCATTCACCAGAAAGACAGAGAGAGAGAGAGGAGAAATCCCCACCCACCCCCCAGGGGTGCCCACTCCACTATCCCTTCTCCTCTCTTCTCCTTGGGATCTGGGCACACATGCACACACGCCTGGCATGAGTTTAAGCTAACGAGTGCGCCTGGCATGAGTTTAAGCCATTGGGTCCAGCACTCGAACCCACTACATGGGAATCCAGCGACAAAGCCATTACGCCAACTGCTGGTCCCAGTGTGTGTGTATGTTTTTAAAGAGTCATTATTTCATTCAACTTGTTATCGTTATTTTAAAATGTGACTAGCGAGAGACAAACAGCAAGTGAGAAGCAAGCGCGTCCAAGACGGACATCGCGCCGCCCACGTGGGAGTCCAGCGCCTGAATCACGGTGTGACCTGCCGGCCCCAGGCTGTGTTTTAAGGTTCTAGCAGCTGTACTTCGTCTCCTCCTCACGTCAACCCCATGAAGACGAGCACGGCTACCCCCCGTTTTACTGCAGACGAAGCTGAGGTTCAGAGGCGTCCTGACTCGTGGAGTGAGGATTCCCATCCTCAGCGCCAAAGCGGGAGAAGCCATCTTGTCTGTAGTCCGCACGGACCGCAACTCCCGGCATCCCTCGCGACGGCGGCTCTCCACACACAACAAATCCCGACATGCCCCTGGGCGGCCCGGGGTGGAGGGTTCTAGAAGGCGTGACGTGGGGTCGAGAGCGGGCTCAGAGGCGGGGGGCGCCCCGCCGGCCGCGGGGGCGCGGCCCCCCGG